GGTTTAGGGTTTTTCCTATAGTCTCCCTCGTCCTAAGCCCTACCCAAAGGGTCCTAGGTACTGTTATGGGGGATACTTCCCCAAATCGTAATGGTAATTCCTGATATAGAAAGCCTACATTCTACTATAGTCTCCCTTGTAGTTCCTTTTTTTTGGTTTATCCAAGTTTATATTATTAAGGATCCTAAAAGGTAACCCCAAACAGGAACTACAATGGAGACCATAGGTAAGCCCTACCGCCAGATCCCTCCCCCTCCTCGAGCCCATCTCGAGCTTCGCACGCTTTGGGGGCTGCCAAAGCCCGGTCAGGTGACAGATTCCACCTGTTTCGGCTGTGCTGGGTTCCAAATTTCGGGGTTTAGGGTTTAGGGTTTGGGGTTTAGGGGAGTTCGAGGTATCTGCGGACTCATGGAACAAAGATACCGAGTACACTAGGATACTCGGGATGCAAACCCGTGAGACAAAGGACCTGCTGGTTGCGAGAGGCTCTCATGCTTTGTAAAACACCTTGAGATACAGGCTGCATGCTTGAGTCTGAAAAAACCTGCAATGCCACAGGCGAGACAGAAGCGCTTAGCCAACCCGAAACCCTAGACATTAACCCTGCGACATGAGCCGTATATGCTAAACTCCCCGAACCCTGAATCCTATAAAACCCCAGATCCCTAAACCCCCCCACCACCAAAAAAAAAACTGAACCCTGAGCCTGCAAACCCCAAACCCTCAGCCCTACTTATATAGGGGCCTTAATAAGTTCGATTGGGTTTTGGGGTATGTTATACTATGATCATGAGCAGGAACCACTAAAATATGGGGTTTAGGGTTGGGTTGTAGGGTTTGGGGTTATGGGGTTTAGGGTTGCCGGGTTTGGGGTTATGGGGTTTAGCGTTGCAGGGCTATAACCGGGGTAACTATGTGGTGCTTATAACTCTACTTATTGCCCATACTCCCTACTTTCTAATTTGCGTGGCCCTCCAAGTAAGTTTCTTCCCCAGCATTAACCTCCAATCAGTGGGAGCCCTGTTGCGCTATTCAATCTGATTAGGGAGTTTTAGGGTTTAGGGCCAACGAAAGCGTAGCAAAGGAGTGCTACTACGGGACCTTTGTAGGGACCTTCATAATCTCAATAGGGTCTTGGGGTCTAGTCTACTATAATTCTAACGAAGGAACCCCCAGAACCCCATTCTCATCATTATAAGGCCCGCATATGAGTTGCTGCACAACTTCTTCTAGAACTCTTATCCTACGCCCTGAACCCTAAACCCCTAAACCCTATAAACCCTAAACCCTATAAACCCTAAACCCTAAACCCCTAAACCCTAAACCCTACACCCTGAACATCTTCTAGAATTCTCCTCCTATGCCCTGAACCCTAAACCCTAAACCCTAAACCCCTAAACCCTGTAAACCCTATAAACCCTAAACCCCTAAACCCTATAAACCCTAAATCCTAAACCCCTAAACCCTAAACCCTGAACATCTTCTAGAACTCTCCTCCTACGCCCTTCTCGGACCAGGAGCAGCTGCGGAACCTCTCAAGCACACCCCCTAGAGTCCCAATGGGTCCTACCTTAAGAACCCAAAACCTACTTTTTTGTAGCGTCCCTATAAATCCCACATTAGTGTTTCTAATAAGAACCTACAAAAAAGTGGGTTTGGGGTTCTTAAGGTAACGGTTGATGATGTAAATCCTGCAATTACCCATAGGCCCCATAGTAGTTCCTTTTTTTGGGGCTCATACTTAGAACCCTATAAGGTAATCCCAAAAAGGAACTACGATGGGGCCTCTGGGTACCCGTGAACAGGAATATACCGTAATTACCATAGTTTAGGGTCTTTCAGGTAATGCAGGATTCATATCATCAACAGAAGTACCCACATAGCAGATTGGAGTAGGGATTAGGGGACTACCGTCTGATTTGGGAAAGTGTTACCTAGCAGCCTCTTGTTTTTTTTTTTGGATCTCCTCTTTTCTGAAGCCCTAAACCCTAAACCCCTGAACTCTAAACCCAAACCCTATAAAACCCGTAAAAACAACCCTCGGGAAGAGACCCAGAGACTCCAAAACATATGAGGGTCCCTATTCTAATTGACAAGCATCTTCCTTAGTTAGGGGGTTTTGGAGTCTCTGGCCCTTGAATAAGGAATACACCTCACATCATCTCAGGAATCCTATTACAATTTTAGGGTCGAGTCCTTAGTTAACGGGTTTTGGGGTCTCGGGGGGAGCCGGAACCCTAAACCCTAAACCCTAGGATTCCTTAGTTAAGATTTTGGGGTCTCTGGGAATCCTAGACCCTAAACCCTAAACCCCAGGATTCGCTAGTTAAGCTTTGCGGTCTCTGGGAATCCTAGACCCTAAA